TAAACTACTTAAATTTGTGATGGACAAAATTATCACAAATAAATTAACTATTAGTTACTTAAAAAATATAAGTTACAAAAGAGAAATTTATGTCACAAATGCTCTTTTTTTCTTGTGACTAAAGTTATGATTTGTAACAAATATATTTTGTGACTATATGTGATTTGTTACCTAAAAAATTCACAAGATGTAACAAAATTTTTTGTCACAATTAATCCACAATTTAATTTAAAAAAATAAATAAATTAGTTACAACAATATTAGTCATTATAAATTAAGTAAATATTTGTGACTAATAAAAATCTGCCACAAATAAAGAAATTTCATCATTTATAAATTTGGTAATGAAAACACTTAAATATCACCAAAATAAATGGTGTCAACACTAAGAGCATGTCCAGCGTCAATAATCTGTCATTGAATCCAAGTCTTACTTCTTTTCTCATATAGTTTCTTAAATTCATTTAGAAATCAGATTTAGCCAGATGATGGACCATTGAATTTGCTTGACGCCTCACAAACGAAAATGAAAAAACATAACCTATGGATGCTAGCTGCAGTATATGGCCACAACTATTAGACAGAACCTCCATTCAAGCAAAATAAGGCCAAAATATATTTCGATTCTCCATAAAAAATATTTGGGTGCTAAACTTTGATTATTTTTTAGTTTACACTTCTATCCATGACATCAAATCAAAATTTATAAATTAATAAACACTGACTTGGCCTAATTCTTATAGATAACACTAAAATTTGATTTAAAATTACTGATGTCTCATCATTTCCTTAGTCATAAGATCAAATCCATTTTTTTATTAGGCAATTCAGAGAATGCATATGCTGATTTCTGAACCTCCAAAAATGTAAATGAAAGTCATTTCTTTGACAAGTAAGAGTCCAATGGTCAATAGTATAATAACTGAATACGATTGAATAATAGTTCAAATGTTTCACTTAGAAGACAAACAAAATCAAAATAATTAAATCTTCTGTAGTAAACACTGAGACCATTAGTATAGCTACTGAGCTCCAATAAAGCATTTCATTTGAAGCTGGTCCATCATCACCTGAAAAATGAGATGAAACCAAAATATGACAAGGATATATCACAAAACCTTAAAGCCTAAGGATGCTGCACATGGTCATGGGCCAAGTTTACCATTAAAACATTGACAAGGATATATCACAAAACCTTAGAACCTAAGGATGCTGCACATGGTCATGGGCCAAGTTTACCATTAAAACATTGACAAGGATATATCACAAAACCTTAGAACCTAAGGA